ATCTAATGTGGTGAGTGTAGCCTTGTGGAATTCTTTGCACCCAAATGGCAATAAATACTATGAGAAATATTAATTCTACTTTCATTAGTCATTCCCTTTTCTAAATCATTTGCTTGTATGTGCCTTAAGTTTAGAAATGCTACCATATTTTTTTGAAGTTAAATCACTATTGCATAATTATATACACCTTTGCTTTCTTTTCAAAATTTTTTGGCCTTGGAAGAGGAACCATTAGCAACTCTACCTAGCTACTTTTACAATCTGACTTGCTGGTGTAAGAAACAAGCTTCTCTGTCTGATGTATTGCTATTTTTATAGCATTTTCGTAATCTCATAGGTGTGTCCACCAATATATAAGGCATCATATTATGTTATCACTTCTTTCCGAAATGTTTACCATTTGGTGTCACATGACTAAATGTCTGTCCTGTTTCTTTTCAGCTGCTTTGTTTTGCTCTACCCCCACTCTAGTCTTGATTTGCTGCTGTCTTGGCTTTCTCATTTGGGCCTTTTTATTTTTTATTTTTTATTTTTTTGTTTTTGCCATTTGTTGTAATTGCAATATGATTTTGTTTGAATACCTTTGATGGTTGCTTTCAATAATAATGCATTTTATTCAGCATAAAATCAGCTTTCATGCTTGCTATAGTAAATCTATCAGCTTAGCTACCAAAGAGATAGCATTTCACTTGTTGTCCATGAAGAGCGCTTCTTGCTTTAATACTCTGATTTCCAGGTTAAAGAAGCATCACATGAATGAATCCCAAGCTTATCAGTACTTTGTCTTGAGAGCTCAGAATATAGCTCTGTCCCATGGATATGAAATTGTTAACTGGTATGCATCTTGTTCTATATAGTCAATTACATTGTTTTCTACATAAAACCCTTTTATGTCCACAAATAAATGACTTTTTCAATTTGTGATTCTATCAATCATTTATAAATATTATAGGGAGGAGACATTTAACAACTTTGGCAATAAATTAGGCCGGAAGACTGTGGTGCACAACTGGTATGTTATACTCCTCTTGACTGCCATCTAGACTGTGTATCACATGATTCTATTTGCATATCTTATTTCTTGTCATGATGCATCTTAAATTTAATACTCTCTTCTCCACGCATAAAGTCAATAAATTAAGAAACAAATTTTGACTTCAATTTGACTATCTTCCTTGTTTATTACCTTGGCAATTTTAACTTTTGCTCATAAATTAAGAAAAATAATGACAACTTCAATTTGAAGCTATACTTTTATACTGTTCTGCCAATTTTCCCCTTTTCCCAGTTTATAAGGGCATGAAATTGTGGCTTAAGGATGAAGAGTCTTATAACACTCCATATCTAATTGATTTTGGTGGTGGTAGAAATGGAATTCAACTTTATGATAGATTTCTCTAAGCATCTTGTTTTATGAGCTATTGTACTCTTTTCCTCTGATGAAATAGTTCAAGGGAAAGGGTTCTTAATTGACCACTTGCCACACTGCTCACAAGGTAAATTTTAGTAACTATCATTTGAAACCTTCATAGTTATATTGTTTTTGGTCTTGCATAGTTAGGAAATTTTCACTGCTAAGTATTTTTGACACAAGTGCAAGTTATAATTTCCTACTCAATATGCAAACTTTGCTTTGGATTCAATTGTCTGATGGTGTAGAAGCGTAGTGCCCATACATTGTTCAGATAATGCCTCTCCTGAGATTTCTAGTTGTGCTTTGATTTAAATCAGGCTCCGTGGTGGAGTTGCTCAGCAAGTGGTGGCATCTGGATTAAGGTGCATTGTGAGCAACCAGGATAAGTGGTACTTGGACCACTTGGACACTGCCTGGCAGGAATTCTATATGAATGAACCATTCGCAAATATTACAAACTCCAAGCAACAGAAGTTAGTTATTGGTGGTGAGGTATGCATGTGGGATGAACACATTGATGGGTCAGATATAGAACAAACCATATGGCCACGTGCTGCAGCAGCTGCAGGTACTTATTGTCTACTAAGTTAACATTCCATTACCCCAATACCTTGTTGCTGGCACTATATTGTTAACAAATCAATGGTTTTGAATTTTTATGCTTTACCTGTTGGCTTCATGTCTTGGGAGTTAAGCCTGGTAGCCAATAAAATAGAGCTTGCATTGAAGTCTTATAATTAAGAACATTTAACACACTACACTACTTGTTTCTTGTTCCGGTATCTATAGTTCTATACTAATAAAAAAACCGAACATAGGATATTGTAACTGGAGAACAAAGACTAGTTTATTAAGGCTTGTAGAGGTAAAAGAGGATATCTTAATTAGACCACGATAGAGGATGCAGACATCTAACCAACCAACTTGTTGCATTGCTAGCAAAATTTGCTTAAAAATGTTGTCTGATCACTGGTTCTGGAATAGAGGGGGGTGTGTGTGTGTTTGGCTTATTGGAATCATTTGTTGTATGTGAATTTTTCCCTGGGTAACTATATTAATTCCTTTTCCCCTGTCCTTTTATATGAAGAGCGGCTATGGACACCATATGACAAGCTTGCCAATGATGCAAGTGAAGTTACTGGAAGGTTGGCTTATTTCAGATGTTTACTGAATCAAAGGGGAGTTGCTGCTGCTCCATTATCTGGACCAGGCCGAGTTGCCCCTTTTTGAACCAGGTTCCTGCCACATGCAATAAGAAGCAGAAGCACTGGAACAACTCCTAGTTGTAAAAAACCAATTTGGCTGTAAATTGAAAAAATGCCCCATTTTAATGTACCTCATACTGGTGGATGCATCTCACCTGTTAAAGATCAGGTAGTTTCCACCAGCTGCTTTCTTCAATTTCTTCAGCAAAAAGTTATCATGTCTTTCTACAATTGAAGCACAGCTTGAAAATTCAACTCAATGAATGGATCTTTTCATCTAATTCAACATCCAGTTATGTCTTCTATATATTCAATTAAGGTTATATCCCCGATTCAGTCCCTCAACTTTCATTTTTGGACTAAAATTACCCTTGAACTTCAAAAAGTACTAAAAATATCCTTAAACTTTAATTTTTGAAACCAATTTTGTCCTTCCGTCAGTTAAATGCTGACATGACAAAATTTTCCGTTAACAAATTCAATTTTTATTAATATTAAATATTACTTGAAAATAAAACAAATGATATGGTATTTTTAATTATAAAAATATTGTGA